AGTGTTTAACAAAAACAACAAATACAGTAATAATAATGAATTATAAAAAAAAAGAATAAAAATACATCTTTCTATTATGTTAAGAATAAAAGCCTCGGAAATATGATTACTCTACTAGTTTTCGTCAAACGCCGTTAAGCGGTGGTTGTTACATCTCTAAAGAAAGACAAACATTGTCCTTTCTGATTCTCTTTCCGCCCTTTGCTCTATGAGTCGTAATTACGCTTCGGTGGGAAGATTAACGTTTCCCCTGACCACTGCCGACTGTACTCACGTCTCACCTTCCAACGCATGGTGCACGCGCGTGTCTTCTCAAAATGTCCATCTATGAAGTCAAGCTTTCACTTTAGATGTTCCATCTAAGCGCAAGGCTGACTTGAGCGCTAACATTGTAACGATGCTGATACTTATTTACCCTATCTTGTAAAAAAAAAATGAAAGAAAAGAAAACGGACATCCTACAACCGTGTTTAAACCTTTGGTAAATTAAGTAGAACTTTTCTTTGGTTGTTCCAAATCTGCACAAGGCTTGACTTGAGTTCGATTGTTAATACGATGTTTATACGTACATACCCTAGATCCTGAACCTAAAAGAAAATAGATATGTCCAAGAAATTTGTTTCACTACAGTTTACATAAAAACGAGAAAAACGGTCCTTAGTAGAAACCTACGTTTTAATATGTTTCTTCGACTTCGGAAACATCTAGAAGGCACACAAGCACGCAGCCTCATCGCGGACAAAATATATCACTGAAATGGAATTATCTTGGTAGAAGAATATTATCAACAAAACGGCAAAGGCGTCGACGACTAGACCTATTTTAAGATCAGGATGATCACTTAATAGACAAAGATATCTGAGTGCCTCACATGAAAGACTTGAACAAATACGACTGCAATCTAAGAAACATAGGACTAAAGAAACTGATTAATTAAATGGCTCACATTGCTCGGAAGCTAATTTTGCTTAAATACAGATAAATATTTTATTTGTATAGATTATTAAAACGTCTAATGGAAATAATCACTTATAAATTTATTAACTTAAGTTTATTAAACCCCTCATTCTACTACTGATGGGACAGAAAATATATAAATAAATACACAATGAATATTATTATAAAAGGTGCAACAAGCGTAGGTACACAGTAAGTTCGCCGGATCTTACTATTATGGATATATTGTTTTTCATTGTTGTATACCTACTTTTACATCATATGGATTTATTATCATTGTTATTATCATTAAAATATAACGTTTGATATCGTAATTTATAATCGCATTTTTAGGATATGGGATGAATGAAAGTATATTTTTAGCCTATTATTGATAATATTGAATTGAACCATTTAGTGGCAACATTGTACATTGCAGGTTAATGTACCTCATGAAAGTTTCCTGAAGGATATTTTACTTATTTACTTGTTTATTAGCAGTTTGGGGTTAAAGAGTAACAATATTTGTAAACAGTTCATTTGATTTCTGATGCATTCCCCTTTCTTTCCGGGTACCAACCAGAGACCTAAGGTCAGAAATGGCATCATGACATTTTTCACTGGGTACTTTTGAAAAAAATCACACTTATTTTACACAGATAAAGCCCTTCGTAAGGTGTGGGCTGTACATGTGAGAATTTTTTTTTTATTCCAGGTCATCTCTTCAATGAGTTCTGTTGTGTAGGAAACCTACCACCCCTCTTGAAGATGAACCTGTCTACAAACAAAGACGTTAAATAGTGGCATGTCAAAAGACAGAAAGAGTTCGGAGAAGTTCTTGGCTGAGCTAGTTATAGACTACTCAGGCGATTTCTGTACCGACTTACCAACCCAATAAACCCCTTTTTATTGTTACTTCTTATTTGGCGTTTGTCTTTATTAACCCCAAATCAACATCATAACAAGTTCATTGGAATCTTTTCCAGTCAATCAGAAGGCTCCACTGACAACTGCAATTATTATTATTATTATCATCATCATCATCATTATAATTCCCTTTGATTTCTGTTGTATAATCATTCCATTCCAGGTCACAACCAGAGGCCTAAGGTCAGATTGACATCGTGATATTTTCTAGTGAACAATTTTGAAAAAAGAAAAAAATTAAAAGAAAATGAACAACCTAACATCACATACATTTTTCATAGATGAAGACCTTCGTTTTGTGTGAGCTGAATTTTTGAGTACCATTTTATGTATTTCTTTATGGAATGGGCAAACAGGAACCCCATCGATGAGTCTATCGGAACCTTTCCCAATCAATACCAGGCCGACAACTAAAACTAAAACCACTGATGTTCTCATGTGCCACAATTTTGAAATTTCCACTTCATGATCCTTGAAATTTGACAGTATTTTTGATGGTCTTCAAAGATATATTACAATCTGCCAGGATTGCAATTCCAATAAAAAGGATATACATTTCTTATCGTTTTTATCATAATGTCTGGATGATTAATTTTCATTGTTATTTCTGTGCGTATTGTTAAGTCCCATAAACTTATTACAGGCCCTATCTCTGTAACCGGGTCTAAGTGATGTTTATAACAGTTTCTTCCAGTTTCCTTCCCATAAAAGTTGCATAATTTCTAGTGAACGTATTGGCCCACTCTCTCATGCTGGGTTTTTATTATTCTTATTATTTTTATTTCCTGTGATTTCTGGCGTTTACACATTTCTTTCCGGGTCCCGCCCAGGGACCTAAGGTTAAAAATGGCATCATGAATCTTTCCACTGACAAAAAAAAACAAAACAAAAAATTCACATAGATAAAGCCCTTCGTAAAGTGTGGGCTGTACTTGTGAGAACGATGTTTTGTATCTCTTTGAAGCATGGACTTCCAGGAATCCCTTCAGTTAGTCTACTGGAATCTTTTCCAACAAATCCTAGAGCTCTAACTACAACAGGGATTACTGATGTTCCGATGTGCCACATTTTTGAGATTTCTATTTCATTATTATTATTATTATTATTATTATTATTATTATTATTATTTCTCCCTTTGATTTCTTATGTATGTTAATTTCTTTCCGGGTCCCAACCAGAGAGTTAAGGTCAAAAATAGCATCATGATATTTTCTACTGAGCTTTTTTTTTTTTTAAATATGATAAAAACAAATACGAAACAATCCAGCATAAACCCTAATAACAAACATGTTTTACATAGTTAAAGCTCTTCGTATGCTGTACTTTTAAGTACAATGTTTTGTATTTCTTTAATGTTTGGGCTACCAGTGAGTCTTCAGTGAGTCTCTTGGAATCTTTTTCAATCAATCCGAGGGCTCCAACTACAAAAACTTGAATTATTTTCACCTGCCAAATTTTTAAGTTTTCGATTTCAAGGTCCTTGTAATCTGACAGTTTTTTTTTAAATTCTTCAAAGGTACATTACGGTCTGTAGGGACTGCCATGTCAATATTTTTATTATTATTATTATCATCATTATTATCATTATTTTTATTATCAGTCAATGCAGTAAACAAGTGCATGTTTACGCTTAATACATATACACACACACAAATATGTGTGTGCGTGTGTGCATGTGTATTTGTGTGTGTGTGTGTGTGTGTGTAAGTGACTGATTTTTTTAAGGCTTATGCACTTATTAAAAGCCTAGATTTTTTTTTAAATAGAAAGAATTTTGGAGATATTGATGATTTACTGATACACGCTCTACAAATTAACCCTTAGCTGAAAGAGGTGGATTCATGCCTTACCTAAAGGGTGTTTCCCACGTACGTACATATAACGAATACGACGGCAATTAGGACTAGTCTTTCCAAATTCCAATTCTGCTACGTTATTCATTACAGCAAACATACATCGAAGATTATAGCACCTGCTATTCCCAAGCGGTCACCCATCTGGGTACAGCCCAGGCTAGCCGTTGCTTAACTTCGCTGATTGTACTGGAACCGCTGTTTCAACGTGTATGGGTTTAATCCGTGTGTGTGTGTCTGTGTGTGAGAGAGAGAGATGAAGAAAGAAAAAAAGAAAGAAATGATGTAAAATCAATGAAATATATACTGCAGGAAAATATTAGAAAAAAAAAATTATATTTACGAATAACATGAATAAACGCCCACTCCCTTATACGTATTTCTTTGTTCATATACCGAAATCCCGTGAAGGGAAGCTGAATTTAGAGAAGAAAATGGGAAAATATCTAATGAATTAAAAACAAACCGAAAAACAACAAGTTATGAGTAAATGAAAGAAAAAAAAAAAAAGAAAATACAAAAAATTATATATATTTCGGGAATATTTGTTACAAGCCGGCCCTTTGCCTGCGTTCCATGGTATAAAATTATGTAGGACAGGAATACAAAATAAATTCTTTGGGCATGCGCAATGAAAGCTCCCCCAGTAAACGTGATTACCGAGGCATTGAGAAATAATGCACCATCGTCCACTCATCCTTAGAAATGTTATTCTTTTTTTCTTTTTGTTCTTTTATCGTTCTCTCTCTCTCAGTTTTATTCTATATGTTTATATTTGAATAGTTCGGAGACGAAACACAAAGGGCGCAAGGCTGAATTTGCTCGCTTGAAAAGCTACATAGAAAATAGAGACTTCGGCTGGCCAACCAGAGTCCATTTCCTTTACAGTGGAAGGGATAAATCGCTTGAACACACATAGTAAGTGAAAAGTGTAAGAACTTTCCATGAGCGCTCAGAAATATATACTTTAAGAAGACTGAAAGTGAGTAAAAATGAAAATACTTAAAATATAATTACTTTATTTCAATCGGCCATCTTGTTACTGACATTCTTTTTTACGAGTGACCGTCTAGATTCCATCTTTGATGCATGCCCAGTAAATAGCTGATGAAGCTAGTATGGAACAGTTATGTCCTAAAAAGCGTCTGCCGTGGAAAATTTAAGAGGGAGATGATGAATTTCTAGTTAACTTTTACAGCAATAATTTCCCCCACAAACTGAATTTGCCTGTTTTCGTAAAAATGAGAAATAAAAAAAAAATAGTGTAGAAAGAAGTCTGTCGCCATGTTTTCCCTTCGGCTGCTTGAGCTCATGCCCAATTACGGTATTTGTTGCCGCAATAAAGATAGGTTACATATATGCGCCGCTTGTACATATTCTACGGCGCTCTTCTTTCTTGCTATAGTTCATGTAATAATAAAACCTTGGGTAGACAATAGTCTTTCATTCGTGGCAAGTGATCTGCACAACGGTGTCTTATCTTGTGGAGCGTAGCCTACATGACTGTGACCTTTGTAATATTGGGGGTTTCGATGCTCGTAATGAAATCGCTAGAGTACACATTGAGAATAGTGAGATAATTTTTTTGTCTACTGTCATATTAATAAGAGAAGTTATTCTTTCAACTTCTTTCTTTCTATCTATCTATCTATATATCTATCTATCTATCTATCTATCTATCTATCTATCTATCTTCCTTTCTATATGTCTAGTTCTCTCTCTATCTCGCCCTCTGTGTGTGTGTGTTTGTGTATATATATATATATATATATATATATATATATATATATATATATATATATATTATATATTTCTAAAAAAAAAAAAAAAAGGTAAATTTTTAAGAGGTGACCTATAAGGATCAAGAAAAGTTAGGAAAGGCAAAAGGGTGACAGAGTGAAACAAGAGTGCTTATTGATAGCATTTTGGTAAAGCATTGAATCCGAAAAGTTTGAAATCAACAACAACGGTCGTGTTTACAGGTCGAGCCATCAATTTAGCAAAAATAAATAAATAAAAATAAAAATAAAAAATAAACAAGGATTCGGGTTTTTTTTTTCAACAACTTAGAACCAAATATAAAGCAACTTGCGAAAAGGCAATAAAAACAGAAAGAAAGCATATTAAACGGAAAAGTTCTGTAGTCTTTAATAACACGTCTTAATAATGACATAATAATATACATATATTGTCATCCACAGACAGATTGGTCCGTTGCATCCAAGCTAATCAATGTGCTTGGACATCATATTGCTTTAAGCCGCGATCGAAACCCCACTGATTCGGCAAGAGTCGGAGATTCTTCCCCGAGCCAACGGTGAACAGTTGGAAGGAAGGCGAATTTTTACGTACTCCTGTGAATAAACACGCCAATGACTGAGACGGCTCAATTCAGGGAAGGGAAGGGCTTTGTAATGTTAGTAGTAATAGTCAATGTTTATAAATATATATATATATATATATATATATATATATATATATATATATATATATATATATATATATATATATATATATATATAGTGAGTCTACAAATTTCTATAATAGTTATGTTACTTCTGCTGGGCGAATTCGAATACTGGTTCTAAATTACAACAAAGCTAATTGCATCGCTGGCTACTTGAGAGGAATAATGGCTGTTAGAAACCTAAGATTAAATTATTTAAATTAAAGCGCATAAGAAAATTCGTGTTTTAATTAATTAATTAAATGAAAACGCATAATATCAGTTATTGTTTACATTTACTCTATCTATAAAAATGTTTTAGATACGTTGATCAATAAAATTAGAACCTATTAAAATATTTCTGTTTTAATTTTTATCTTTTTACGCTGAACTCCTCTCCGAAGTCAATTTTTCGGTCAACTATCCTCGCAACATCATGTGCTGTACTTGTGTGTAAAGACAACAATCTCTAGCATCCGCTTGCTTTCGTTTTCAGTGTAGGATAGAAAGCATTTAACACATTTCTATATTCTGATAACATGTTCTCTTTCTGGAAAATAATAAAAAAAAAATGATTTACGTCCTTTCGACTTTTCTCTACATATCGTTATATTTTATTGGAAATGGGTGATTAATAATCTAATTTTAACAGCCAGATGCTACCAAGGTCGCTAATCTTATATCCGATGAATTAAAATTTGTATTAATTCCTAACCATTGATGATCATGTTCGTTCTGAATTCTAATGCATTTCTTTAGTAGTAACAATATACATTGGAACCTGAAGGCCGTTCGTAACCTGAAATGTTCGTAAAACTATTTTTCATTAGGAATCAATGTAGAGAAAAATAAATTCATACTACAATAAATGTGGTATAAAAAATCACAACACAACACACTATTGTATGCAACACGGCGGTTGACTCAGACGTTATTCCATTCGGGTTAACTCTGTTCGGTAATGTTGTTAGAGAACCGAAATATTGTTCGATAACCGAGGCATTTTCCTCACGAATTTTCTGTTCGAAAACCAATTTGTTCGACATGTGAGACGTTCGTGAACCGAGGTTGCACTGTATTTATATTAAATTATATCACATCTCTATTCTGGCAATAACTCTCACGTTAATAACTGACTACTGTTATTCTCCCTGTCATTCAATGTACTTTAATGAATGATAATTAATTAGGGTTATTCTGTTTGTAACTCCTCCTGACAATTGAAGACCTTTTTTTAAAATATATTTCCATTTCATTCATCAGGGAAATGGAGAAATATGAACACAAATGCATCCATCATTATTTGCATATCTGGAACAACCCTGGTAATTCTTGTAAAAGGTCTGAAGAATTTCTAATCTGAAGAACCACAGTAGATTAATGGGTATAACGATATTCCAACCAACCAATCGATGATGAGAAGCGTTGTCGCACATTACTTCAACTATCACCTACCATCAACAAACTATCAATTGACATGAAAACTGACAAACACATCGCTAAAACAGTAGCAGTGATGGCCAAATTGTTCAAGAGTCTATGGAGCAACGGTTAGCTGCTTTTGCGCACCAAACGTGTTCTAGGCATGTGTCCCTATTACTCGGGTTTATGGCAGTGAAACCTGGACAGCATCCATCATGCATGAAAAACGTCTGGAAGGTTTCCATCTCTACGACGTATACACGGCATCACGTGGAGAAACAAAGCTATTGTGCTAGGGCAAGTAAACTAATGGAGCAAGCATCTTCTTCGTTGTGAACGCAGATTTAAATGGCTAGGTCATATACATCGAATCAATTAATGCTGGTATGTATCTTTCAAAAAACTACACCATGATGATGATATTGTGCTAATGTCCAAAGTACTCGGATTAAATAACATGTATCAACACAGTAATTTTCTCTCTTCCTTTAATAATAACACCAAAAAGCTTATCTGTGGATATGAAATGATTCATTTGAAAATAAGTATATAACTCTTGTCTAAATTATTCAATGATACATATCTCAAGGAAAACATGCTACCAAAATATATCCTACATACACACACAAGCAAGCAGCACACACACACACACACACATTATATATATATATATATATATATATATATATATATATATGTATGTATATATATATATATGTATATATATATATATATATATATATATATATATATATATATATATATATATATATATATATGTATATATATATATATGTATATATATATATATATATATATATATATATATATGTATATATATATGTATATATATATATATGTATATATATATATATATATATATATATATATATATATATATATATATATATATATATATATATATGTATGTATATATATATATATATATATATATATGTATATATATATATGTATATATATATATATATATATATATATATATATATATATATATATATATATATGTATATATATATATATATATATATATATATATATATATATATATATATATGTATATATATATATATATATATATATATATATATATATATATATATATATATATATATATATATATATATATATATATATATATATATATATATATATATATATATATATATATATATATATATATATATATGTATATATATATATATATATATATATATATATATATATATATATATATATATATATATATATATATATATATATATATATATATATATATATATATATATATATATATATATATATATATATATATATATATATATATATAATATGTTCTTTTAAATTTATGCTAAGAAAATCAAGAATGCTAGTTGAAAAATTTATCATTGTTGCGTTTGTGTGTTCAGTCTCCAAAACAGCTCCAATAATTTGAGTTTGTGTCAGGGAAAATTCTTATTAAATAACCACAAAAGGCACTATCAGGAGTTGCTTTTACTCATTTCTGTTTGAGTGAAGATTTGTCGCCAATGTGGAAATTGTGAAATTGTCGATGTTGAGATGAAATAAAGAGAGCAGGGGGGAAAAACGAGGGAATTAAATGACAACGAATAAATAGACTTATAGTTCTTTTCGTTTTTTTTTTTTTTGTTTTTAAGTGTCATCGTGTGAAAGTCTTACTACGAACTCCTGGAAACTTTCCGATGTTAATGGCAGTTCGCTCGTAGGTCATTCCGGTTAGCGCAGCTGAAATGGTGGGAATTTTATTCGAAGCCAACGTCACGCACTGAAGTAGTAGTTAGCATTAAAGACATTGAAGTAAGCAAAATATTGCGTGAACATCACTGTTTGAATCTGGTCAGAAAAAAAAACTACTAGCGTAGATGCGTGTTTGTCTTTATTCGGTAGAATTAACTCCAATTTTAGCACCACCTTTATAAGAGTGAAGTAGATAACAGAGATGGCCGGGATTGGTTAGAATATATCTTCCTTGCCTGCCTAGTGACCTGATCAGCCAGAGTGGCAGTGCGCGCATATCGTCTTTAAATATTAAAACGATTTTTAAGAGTTGTCGGTTATTTTCAACGTAATAAGGACCCTCCCTAACACGAACAGCATATATTACAATTTAGACTGTCAGAAAGTCGGTAGCTATTCATGGGTGTCCATTCACAGGTCAAATCCGGTTTCAGAGCAGAGATATTTCTCGCGACTAAATCCAGGACTCGCCTCGGATAACCCGGTAAATGGTCAAGTCCCTTATATATAAGTAGCAGCGTTACCCAACATTGCCTGCTTATTATATCAAAATAACTCAAATAATCGACATATTCATGATGAGCTGAAGCAGAAACAAAACAACAACAACAACAACAATAATAATAATAATAATAATAATAATAAAGAAATTGCCAACCAAACAATAAAAAATGTACATATGCAGATTCTGTGATGAATATCTAGAAACAACTGTCCATCTTGTATCAGGCTGCACGTTTTAGCACCCACCGAATATAAAGTTCGTCATAATAGTAGGCCGTCCTGGGTATGACGATAAACTACATTCGCGTCCAGGGTAAGACGATAAACTCCGCCCAACAGCAAGGCCTCTGATCAGGAGGTTTTGAGGAATGTGGAACCACCTCTTAATTGCTGGTGTTCCCACGTCCACCCTGACCCGGGGTTGTAGCACCTGTTATGGTCCCAGCTATGGGCAAATAGTCAACCCCCCAAATCGAGTCAAAACAAGTGTAAAAATAGAAATACTTAGTAAAAAAAAAATTATTACCAGCAATACATTTTTCAAAAATTTTGAAAATTCTTTGAAAAACATATTACTAGCACTTGT